GTAAAGATGGTCCTTTGGTGTGCTTCGTAGAGAAGGCAGAACTCTGTACCCATGTGTGCCTGCAAATATCTATACAAGTGTTTTTGACCCTTAAAAAAGCTAGTTTATTTTTTTCCCATTTATTTTTATTAGTTGGAGGTAAAAAGCTAGTTTAAAAGATTTCTCTTAGAGGCAGAGGCTCCAAAGGTACTCAGGTGCCATTTTTCCCCTTGGGATTCTAGTCCCAGTTAGTTGTGCTTGATTTCCCTTTCCTGGTCAGATCAGTTGCCTTGAAAAAGATGAAGAAAGTCAAATGAGGATTGGTTAGTTTTCTTTCCTGTCATTAAAAATTTCTTTTTGTTTGGAAATTTCAAATTTACAGAAAGTCACAAGTATAAAATTATACAAAATTCTTTTATTCAGATTCTCCTATTGTTGACATTTACCTCATTTGCTTTATCATTTGCAGTTCTCTCTCTTTATATATCTCATTATATAATTTCTTTCTGTACCATAAGGACTAGAGATGTTCTAACATACACTGACATACAATAAAAGCTATGAACATCAGTCAACTTAAAATTGGTAAGCGTACTCTCATTAAATTCATGCTCTCATTGTTCACATTCCAGTTTTGCCCAGTGACCCAGTAGTGTCTACACAGCATTTTTCTCTTCCTTATCTCTTAGCAGTTGTCTGCCCGAAGCATTAGGCCCAGGCTCTCTTTGTATTTGCTCCATATGAGGGTGTGAGCTTACAGAGTTGTTGTCTTGAATGTTTTTCACAATGTTCAGTTTGTTCCTGGCTGTCACGTTTCCTGAAACTATTATCACAATCCACGCCAGTCTTTTTTAAATTCTTTATTTGTTCCTGGTTAGGCCTCTCTCCCTCTTTCATCTCCCCCATAGTGTGGGTGGCAGGCTAAGGGGATGTCTCAGAGATCAAGCTCCCTGGGTCATGTCATATGTAGCCACCTTGGTTTCTTTTTTCCTGCTGGATGTCAGTTGCTGTTGTGCTGTAAAAGCTGTATTTGAATAATACAGTTTTTTAAGTCAAGCAAAGAATTACTTAGGAAAGGTTTAGGGGTGTGGTAAAGGGGAACTGATTAGAAGCTTGAAGTAGCAAGCCTCGGGTTTTTCTAGATTAGCGCTTCTCAGACTTTAATGTGCACACAGATCTCCTGGGGATCTTGTTAAAATGCAGGTTCTGATTCCGTAGGTCTGGAGTGGGGCCCAGGATACATTTTTAATGAGTTCCTACAGCAGCAAGGTCCTAGAGAAGTTTTAAGACTTGGATGATTTAGATCCCAAGGTACTGACCTCTGGAATCCAGAGATAGCTTATCTGTAGTTGATGATCTTAAAGGAATTTGAACAAAAGAAAAGTGTCAAGACCAGAAGATGTAAAGTCCTGAGTATTAAAAAAAAAAAAAATAGTGAATGGTGTGTTGCAGAGGATAAAGCAAAGAATCAAAGGATTGGGTCCCACTCTGTCACTCACTACCTGACAGACTCACTATAAACACTTGGCCTTTGAGCCTTGGTTTCCTTTTGTTAAGACGGGGCAATAATACCCCATTCTTAGGATTCAGCTTAAGAGTATTTATCTAAAGTGGTCCTGACTCAGTATCTGGAATATCCTAGATGTACAGGGAGTGGAAGCTGCTGTGAGTGAGTGGTTGGAGCTTCCTTGAACCTGGTCCAGATTGTCGAACAGATGATTTGGCCATGAACTCTGAGCCCTTAAGGAAGTGGAGTTCATCAGTAGCCATCATCTGTTGTCATCCCATTTTCTTCTTAGACAGGCTTATTATCCAATTGGAGTGTTACAGACATAATCTCTAGCTTTGACACAGGAATTTAACAAAGTCTCAAGATATCTTTGTGAGCATGTCAAAGAAATTTGTAAGCTAGTTGAGGTGGATGGGTTTGTGACTATTAGATGCATCAATACAGTCGTGAACACAGATTAACATGAATGAGAAAGGTGGTTTACACTGGCACGCACATTGCTTTCAAATACACCTTTTTAAAATGTTGGCTGAAGACAGTCACTGTAGTCCATATTTGTCATCCTCGGTGCCTCCAGACACAAGTCATTTGGGCCTGACATCTCCTTAAGTATTTGTCTGCATCCTGCTTCATGCCGTTTTTCCCTCGACAGCTCTTGGAGTGCTCTGCGGTGCCACCCTTTTCTGGGATCAACAAACTGCCCTTTATCTTGTTTGTCTCTGGGGGATGGATGGATGGTTTTTCCCTTCAGGATGATGTTTTCTTGGGTGGAGACTTCTCCTCCAAGCCTCGTCTCCCTCACAGACATTCTTTCCGTTATTCTTACCAGTTCCCCAGGCCTTTACCTTCTCTGAGGAGCTCAGTGTCCATGTTACGTTTTAACCCCAGGCCTGCTTGTTACTGTGGGTCTGTTTAAGGATGCCGTCCAGCATTGTAGCCTCCACACCCCCCACCTCAGCCACCTGTGATCACACAGGCTGACGGCACTATCCTTGGGACGCAGTCTTCTCGGTCCCCTTCCCCTGTCTCTCCCGTCTGCCCCTCACTCCCCTGGTAGCTGACAGCACGTGGCCACTGCTGATTCTCCGTTTGCCTCTAGTGTCGTTCACCTGTGACACGACTGTGTCTTCCATCCTCTCTGTGGCTGGTCCATCAGCCCATCGATGGACGCATTTCCTCCTCCACATTCTCTTTGGAAAGACCCCACAGCCCGTGTCTACGCAGGTTCCTGACACTGCCTGTGCAAGCCGCCCATGTCTGACTTGACCTTCAGCCTCAGCCGGGTGCTGGCTGCCCGCCCCGTGTTCCCAAGGTCCCTGGTCAGCCCCCTCGGCTGTCCCCATAGGCGCTGCCGTGTGTCTCCACCCTCCCTCAGGATAAAGTCTAAATGCCCTAACCTGGCTTTCAAAGCTGTCTAAGATTTAATTGTTACCTCTTCATTCACCACCATAAACTTGTTTCCATAAAATGTGAAGAAAGATGAGGCCCTTCAGGGCAGTGGTACCACTTTTAAGACCAGTACAGGTGATCTGTATTGTCAGAGAACTGTCAGTTTTCACAGTGCTTTTTGTTTGGTTGGTTTTTGCCACATCTTGCAGCTCCCAGGAAGAGCCTGGACTAAATCTTCGCATCGCCCACCCCCCTACCCTCTCAGCATGAATTCCAGGGCCCTGGGCTGTGTGTGTCATTGAGAAGGGCTTTGTCAGGCGTATTTGAGAAACTTGACAGATAATTTCTGATGGGTGTCGGAATTCAAGCATGAGAGACACTTGGTTTCAGTATGCAGTTAAGTGCTTGTGCTCAGGAAACTAGTTAAAAGAATGTTTCCTTAAAAAATGAAGTCTTTAAGTGATAAACTCCCCAACACACACACACACGAGACTGGCCTCCAGCCCTCTTGAGTGTTGGCCAGCAAGTGGAGGCCCTGATTCTCCCCCGTGCGGGCGGGAAGGTAGACTGGTATGTCTGCTTTGGAGGATGGTTGGATGGTTTCGTTAAACGTTAAGGATAAATGCAATAAAATAAAGAAACGCATCTAAGACTGTTCCCTGCATTAAAAAAAAGAAAAGGATACAGTGCCTTCTCTTGATTCTCTCTGTGGATCAAGTTAAGGATACCCTACCTCTCTTGATCTGAGAGGGACGAGTGGTTGGCTGAGGGGGGAGCAGGCTGATCTGATCCTGTACAAATGCTCTGTGGTGAATGGTGTACCCTGGAAGCATGCTTTCACTTTGATTTCATGCTTGGAGAGGTTTATTTGTGCCTCCCGAGACCCACCACAGCCCCAGCCAAACACTCAGACTGACTTGTATCCCTAGAGGAAACCAGCTTAGGTGACTTGTGTCTCACTCAATCACTAGTGACTAATTGTGAGGTGGAGCCACTCACAGCCACCATGTATTGAACAGTTTCAACGTAAACACATTATTTTGGTTTCACTTCATAGGCTTTTTGAGGGGAGTGTTTTCCCCTTTCTGCAGATGAAAATAAAAAAATCAGAGTAACGAGGCTTCTTTCTAACCTCAGTGCCACCATACCTCTATGGTCAAAGCCTTCTCCCACCCCCCCCACCCCCTTTTAGTGGATAAAAGGGTGTTTTGCTTTGCTCTGGATTCCTTTTTCCCCAGGGCCAAGTGTGGGAAAATGCTACTGTCTTCTGCTGTCCACTTTACCTCTCTTATCTCTCCTGGCCCTGAGGAGAGATCACTCTTTTTTTGATGTTTAATATTTAAATATTTATTGTGCACTGGGCTCTGCTGTGCTGAGCGCTTTCCATCTGCTATCTTAATTATTGACCCCTCCTGACCATGTTACGAAGCAGTTGGTATTCCACCCAAGATTCCATGAGAAAAGGGAGACTCAGAGCTTCCCAGAGCAGGCAACTGTATGAAGGTGGTATCAGGCTCAGCCAGGATTGCTGTCAGCCAGAGCAGCTTAACCACAACGTCACTGCTTCCGTCCTAAATGTTTGAAGTCCAGGGTTGTCTAGGAGAGATTCTGCATGGGCTGGAATTCTGCATACAGGAGCCTCTTAGATGAGATGGATACTCATGCTCTGCCAGACTTCTGGGCATGGCATGGAATTCTGTGTTTTAGCTACATAGTGTTGGAAAAAAGGCGGGGGGGTGGTTCTTCTGATAGACACGTTTGCAGGCAGCAAGGAAGGAGTATGGTTTGGGCTTCGTAACTGTGCTGATGGTGTCTCCTGTGATGACATGGGCATGTGTATCCAGACATTGGTAGTGGCTTTCACGAGGGCCCCCCAGTGACACAGAGTGTCCCAAATGCTACCCAAGACCCAGGGACTTGGGTCTTCAGAAAGCCATCCTATTCCTGCCTCTTATTAGATACCCTGGGTGTACATCTGCTCATTGTGCTCATCACTGTGGTCCTCTCAGGCTTTTGGTGGTCTTGCCTCAGTGTGTCTTGCTCTGGGTGTTAAAGGGAAAGCTCTTGTCTGGGAAGAAGACTAAGAGGTCATGAGATTTTTTCCCCCCCACCCTCTTCCTAGTACTGAGCATGCTCCATAACCCACTGGGCAATGTTTTGGGAAAGCCCCCCTTGAGCTTCCTGCCTCTGGACCCGCTTGGATCTGACTTGGTGGACAAATTTCCAGCACCCTCCATTAGAGGACCACGCCTGGACACCCGGCCCATCCTGGACTCTCGCTCTAGCAGCCCTTCTGACTCGGACACCAGTGGCTTCAGCTCAGGATCAGATCATCTCTCAGATTTGATCGTATGTAGCATACTGGGGGGTTGGTGGGGAGGGCAGGTAAGCTTGAGCACGTGGGGTGCGGGCTGCGAGGTGGGGTGATGGGAGGCGCTAGGATTTCTGAACCTCGGCAGAACAAAGGGTGCCCTGTGAGCGCACTCGGAACCTGAGCTGAGGCCTCTTCATCAGTTACTGCATGAGCTGTTAGGAAACAGTTTCGAGAGTAAATAGGAGAGTCCTGGCAGGATTCTGAACTGTAATTTGTTCCCTAACAAGTTAAACGGTGACCACAAGCAGGTCCCTTTGATTGTCTGGCTGCAGTTTATTCCCCTGTAAAGATTGGGCTTCCCTTGTGGCTCAGCTGGTTAAGAATCCGCCTGAAATGTGGGAGACCTGGGTTCAGTCCCTGGATTGGGAAGATCCCTTAAAGAAGGGAAAGGCTACCCACTCCTGGAGAATTCCATGGACTGTATAGTCCATGGGGTCACAAAGCATCAGACATGACTGAGTGACTTTCACTTCACTTCACAAAGTGGAATTAGATGAGATGCTTCTAATTCTGTTCATTGCTTTAGATGGGGTTCAGTCTTAAGAATCTGCCTGGTAACCAGCTTTAATATTGATACTTTGAGATTTTTGTTTAAAGAATTTTCTCAGATCCCTGCCCCAAAGGTTGATTGATAAAGGGATATGGACAGACAACTCACAGAAGAGGAAATAGAGGCAGTATTTAAACTTACAGGAGATACTTTATTGAGTAATTATTTCAGTTTATTTCTTGATAATGTGGTATATTTTTACACACTTAAATTAGTAGAATTTAAAGCCTTGACACAAGTGTGTAGTGTTCTACACTTGTGACACTTGTGTTCTCACACGCTTTTGACAGAACACAGAACCCTCGTAGAAAGCATTTTGACATCTTACGTCTAGGACTGTGACCAGAGAAGATACAAAATAAGAAGAAGCTACACCTTAAAGTTTTTATTTATAATCCTGAAAACTTGGAAAGTATCTAAATGTTTAGCATTAGGTGGAATAGGTCAGTGAAGTGTAACTTGTTCCCTAAAAAGAATATCATAAATTAACTAAAAATGGTTATGAAGATTGGCAATATGAAGGAAAAAACTGAATTGGGGAGGAAAAGACTGAATTGGGGAGAAAAAAGTTTATTTAAATTATGATATAAGAGCAGCTGCTCTTAAAAATGCATAGGAAGAAAGTCTAAAAATGTATCAAATACTAAATGGTATTCTTCATAATTTCTATAGTGTAATTATTACTTTTGTAACAGCTGTCATTTAAAAACCTCTGTCTTCCTTTTTCCTTCCCTAGTCAAGCCTCCGAATTTCCCCTCCCCTGCCCTTCCTGTCTCTGACAGGGGGCGGCCCCAGAGACCCTTTAAAGATGGGGGTTGGGTCCCGGATGGACCAAGAGCAAGCTGCTCTGGCTGCAGTCACTCCCTCCCCAACCAGTGCATCAAAGAGATGGCCAGGAGCTTCTGTGTGGCCGTCCTGGGACCTTCTCGAAGCTCCCAAAGACCCTTTCAGCATAGAGAGAGAGGCCAGGCTACACAGGCAAGCTGCAGGTAAGTGTGGGCATACACCTACGGTGGGGCCTGAGCCCTTGTTCTCGGGGCAGGCAAATGAACTGTCCACAAGAGGACTTGATTGCATGGTGAAGTCTCTGCATCTGCACAGAATGATCTGTTCTGAGGAGTAAGTGCTAATGGGGACAAACTTGGGAACGTCTTTGAGTTGGAGCAGAGAGGGAATGAGATGACCGAGAACCACAGGGCCATGCCTCTTAGCGTTTGGATCCATCTCTGACTTGTTCTCTTCCATGGAGATCATGCAGTACTGTTGCTTTTAAGTCTTTGCCTGGGTGGATGCTTCAAGAGAAACCCTGGCAGTGCTGCCTAGAATTTTGTCTGCCTCCCCCCCACCCATCCCCATTCAGAGACGTATCAGGCACAACCCACACTGGAGCCTCCTTCCCCAAGACTTTCTGCTTCGTATACAAGGGATGTGTGGGTTGTCCGTTTGTCCACCTCCAAGGTAATGGATGTCTGTTGCCGTTGCTTCCCTATGAAGTAACTTTACCATGCTTTTGGGTGAGGCCATTATATCGACTTCTGTTTTTGTTCACAAAATATTGCTGATGGTGCCTAAATTTCCTGCTGTAGCAACACATTGGACCTGTGCCTTTCAGAGAATGGCCTTCTGTGTCATTGTCCTGAATGAAAATGATGGTTCATTTCACTCGCTGTGCAGTCCAGTTGTGGAGGAGGAGAGTAAAACAGGCAAGGACTAGTTGGTACCCACTGAGGTCAGTCTGTGATCTGCAAGGGCACAGACTGAGTGGGGACAGGATTGAATACTGGTATGATAGAGGGCTGGACCGGCCAGTCACCAAGAATATCAGGGACTCGAGAAAGTTTAGGGCAGGCCAAACAGAAGATAGTTTCAACTCTATACAGCAACAAGGGTTTCTTAAGGGTTTCTTAACTGAGTCAGAGAAACTTTATAAGAGGTGTGGACAGAGTTCTGTTTGGTATAAACAGGAAGCTGAGAGATGGGGAGAAAATCTCTTATCTTAACAGTGCTGACATCAAGAAGGCCCAGTGTCTCCTTCAGCACCGTAAGGATAGGTCTAGAGATGGTGCGGAATGGTTCTGACTTGAAGCGGTTGTGACCACATACTTGTCTTGCTGGTGGTGGTTCTTACTGTCAGCGTCCTGACTTGTGTGAGTGATGAGCTCATGGAGCAGACAGGAGAACAGAATGACGTTCCTTATTGGAACATCTGCAGAGAAGGTCCATTTGGACCAGGAAGCATTTAGGATGTTGTATGAAAAACTGTCCAGTTTGCTTTCAAGTACAGGTGTACCTTGTTTTATTGAACTTCACTTTATTGCACTTTACAAATACTGAATTAAAAAAATTTTTTTGGAGTACAGTTGATTAACACTGCCGTGTTAGTTTCAAGTGTATGCAAAGCGATTCAGTTATGGGGTGTATGTATCTATTCTTTTTCAAGTTCTTTTCCCATTTAGGTTATTACAGAATATTGAGCAGAGTTCCTTGTGCTATACAGTAGTTCCTTACTGGTTATTTATTTTAAATAGAGCAGTATGTACATGTCAATCCCAAACTTCGAATCTATTGAGATTGCTTTTTTTTTCCCTAACAAATTGAAGGTTTATAGTGACCTGTGTTGTCAGATGATGATTAGCATTTTTTAGCCAATAAAGTATTGTTTTTTTTAAACATAATGTGGTCACACACTTAATAGATGATAATATAGTATAAATACAACCTTTATATTCACTGGGAAACCAGAAAATTTGTATGATCAGCTTTATTACAATGTTCATTTTATTGTGGTGATTTGGCACAAAACCCTGAAATGCCTCCAAGGTATGCCTATAATTCTAAATTCAAATTAATTGGTATTGTAAGCAGTGACTAGATAGAACTGTCTTCTGGTGAGTGTATCAGTTTTATGGTTGTGATGGTTTTCACCCTGCACGTGTGGTCTGCTGTCCCAGTTTTAGTGGAGAAACAGAACTGGTGAATCAGGGTCACCACCCTGGGCTGGCAGGTTTGGAGAGGTGTCCGCTGTCTTGCCTTTCAGAGTAGTCTTGGACGTTTGCCCAGCAGCCAGGCTGGGGATGGTGGCCTGTCTCTCCTTCGCAAGCAAGTTCACCACAGAGAAGGGCAGTGCCTCTGTGGCTTCTCTGACTCCTGTTTCTCTCTGTCTTCTGCCAAAGCTGTGAATGAAGCCACCTGCACGTGGAGCGGCCAGCTCCCTCCCCGGAACTACAAGAACCCCATCTACTCTTGCAAGGTGTTCCTAGGAGGCGTCCCTTGGGACATTACGGAAGGTGAGCTCTGAGTCCTTCTGCTTCAGGTGTTGAAGGTGGCCCTGTGTTTCCAGAGCATGAAACTTGGCCTTGAGGCCAGACCAGGAGCTGAACCTCTGCCCGGGCTCAGGGTGTGACAGGAACAGCTGTGAGGGGAAAGGTGCCTTCATAGACCCTGCAGTGCTGCTGGGTCTGGTGCCCACACATGTCACTGGAGACCTGGGGCCAGTTCAGAGTTGTTCGTCCAGGAGGACAAGCGACTCTGGTGGCCTTGTGCTCGTGCCTTCCTGGGGAGAAAGCTGCCTCAGTGTCTGCCGTGCTTTTCCGTCTCTTTGCAGCTGGATTGGTTAACACCTTCCGTGTTTTCGGCTCTTTGAGTGTGGAGTGGCCTGGTAAGGATGGCAAGCACCCCCGGTGTCCTCCCAAAGGTAATATGCCGAAAGGTAATGCAGACATGGTAGGAGCTTTTTCTCCCTCCCCAGTACCTGATTGCACTGGGGGACGCTGGGATGGCACATGCATGCTGGTAATGTGGTTCGGGTGTTCCAGAGCACAGAGCTCTTGGCACTTCTCCTCACCCAGCACACTCCTGTGTTCCTTCTGAGCTGATGTTCCACCTGTCCATCCAGACTCACACTGCAGTGGGGGCTGCCTGGAAAAGCCCGTGCACACCTCCCTCTAACCTGAACCCCAGCAGTTCCTGTTCTCTCAAAGCGAGGTGTTTGAAAAGCTTTCTGTACTTGCCTTTCCTGCCCAGAGATGCTGTCGCCTGACCTGATTCTGAGATCCCTCTGGAGTTAGCAGGAATGAGGACCAAGTGTCTGAGTCCTCACTGGTCTGAAATGAGATTCCCTCCCTGTAGAAAGGAGCAGGTGCTATTTTCATGCTGCCCCATCTTCACTGATGTACTGAACCAGTGATCGAACTAGGCTTTTAAAGAAGTACCTTCGCCCCCTCGCCATAGACCCAGTGTTGCTACTTCCCCCAGGAAAGCCAGGCTTTCTGATGTGAGCATGTTTTGTGCTGTGATGTGAAGAGCTGTGTGGTGACAACGGGACCCTCTGTCCTGCCGCACCCACCCTTCCCTTACTAGATGGGAAATGGTGAGCATCCCTCCCCGCATTGGAAGTAGGACACAAATGTGTCTTACCCATATGCCGTCTTTCTTGGGGGGGAAAAAACCAGCAACAACACTGCCGTAAATGCCCGGCTGAGGAGTAGCCCCCCCAAGGGATGTTAATGCAGTTTCTCCTTCCCTGGTAACAGGGTATGTGTATCTGGTCTTCGAACTGGAGAAATCTGTCCGGGCCTTGCTTCAGGCTTGCTCTCATGACCCGCTGAGCCCGGATGGCCTGAGCGAGTACTACTTCAAGATGTCCAGCCGGAGGATGCGCTGCAAGGAGGTGAGCTGGCGCAGAGCCCTTGCTGGATCAGGGGCCTGGCTGTGAGGAGGCGGGCTTCATGGGGAGGTGGGTACGCAGGTGCAGACTGAATTCCTACTGAGGGGAGAGGGCTGCTCTTCTTGCCCCGCGGTGAGTGCGGCGAACACTCTCTGAGGTATTAAAGCTGCCGCTGTCACCTCCGGGCATTAATGGTCTGTCTGTGCTCCTGCTCATGGAAATCAGACTGTGTCCCAGCTCTCACTCTCCTTCCTACTCTAACCAACACTTCCTTCCCAAACCTCTTCTCTTAGAAATGAGATGGGCTCTGCTTGGTCTTAACATCGACAGTTGTTTCTTCTAGTCCTGCCCTCAAGCTGTGCCTGCTGACCTCCCAACCTGTGGTGGGTAAATTCCTCTGTAGCCACTGCCCCCACCACCACATGGTGACTTCTGCGCTGCCATTCAGGGCTTTCTTAGTACGTGGTTCTCTCCATCTGATTCTCTCTCCCTTCACATCTCTGCTGTGTCAGCCTTGTGTGCGATTAGCATCATGAGTCTCAAGCGAGGAGTCATCCTACCTGGGGCCTCACTGCATGTTCTTGGACCCTGCCTCAGGATCTCTAAGTCAGTTTGGTTGGAGCTTGAGAATCTCCACCTTAACCAAGTTCCCCAGGTGATGCTAGTGGGTGGTGTTTGAAAATCACTTGTCAAAGAAAGTTCTGAACTCAGGAATCAGTGTTACTTTTAAAAATTTGATTCTAGAGTGTATTTTGTGATATTGGACTAGATAGTCAATATCTCTCAAACCTCATTTCCTCATTTATAAAATGGAAAATTGAAATGCCTGTATTAGTAAAAAGATCTGAAGTTGCCAGGACTTACAGGGTTGGAGGATGAACACACAAAGCATAGAAGATTTTGAGGATGGTGAGGGTGGTGAAGGTGCTGTCTTACAATATTAAAGTGGTAGATTGTTGTTGTTCAGTCGCCCAGTCGTGTCCAACATGCCATTATACAGTTGCCAAAAACCCCACAGAGTTACAGTGGGAAAACAGACACCAAGTGTGAACCCTGGTGTAAACCGTGGAGTTCAGACAATGATGTCAGTATAGCCTCCGTGATGGGAACAAATGCACCACTGCGGTGCGGAGCACTGGGAGTCAGAGAGGCTGTGGAGGCAGTGGGTATACAGGAGCTCCACACTTTCAGCTCAGTTTTGTTGTGAACCTAAAGCTGCTCTAGAGAGTGAAGTCTACTGAAAACTGTGGGGTAAGGGGGAAGATGCCTGCTTCACTGAGAGGGTCACACTGGATTAAAATAAGAGGTCCACATTACAGGGCTGACTCTTGGTTTTACAGATGTTTCCTGGTGTTGGTATGCATTTTGTCCTCTGGCTGCCTGCAGGGACCCACAGCTTCCCCACCTTCTCCCCTTTCTTGCTGCGTGGAGTTCACACAGCTATCACTGCTTTCGCAGTGAGAGGCTACCACGGACCCTCCCCCTCGCCAGTGCCCCTGCAGACACCTTCCTGCCTCCTCATCACCTGGCAGTGCTGTAGTCTCTCTTGGGTGCAGGGACTGTGGGCTGCCCTGGTTCTCATCCCTCTCTGACCCTCTTTCTTCCTTGTATCTCCCCTCCATAGTAGTAGGTATTCCATGCCCCCTCTTCTTTCCCATTCAGACAAACTACTCACTTTTATGGCCCTCTTCTTACCTTCGACCGAGACTCACCTCTCTAGGCTCATGTCCTGCTTGAGCCCCACCATCCTACAGGGCCTTTCTTCAGGATGTGCTGTGATCATGTACTCTGACGTTTAAGGAAGAGACTTCACTGGTGACTCAGTCGGTAAAGCGTCTGCAGGATTCCTGGGTTCAATCCCTGGGTCGGGAAGATCTCCTGGAGAAGGAAATGGCAACCCACTCCAGTATTCTTGCCTGGAAAATCCCATGGATGGATGGAGGAGCCTGGTAGGCTACAGTCTGTGGGGTCGCAAAGAGTCGGACACGACTGAGCGACTTCACTTTCACTTTTCACTTTGGAAAGCTTGGTGGCACCCAGGATGTGATACTTTCCCATGGGAATGGAAAAAACAAGATGGGCTTTTGCATCTTCAGTGAAATCGGCTCCCCATGGTAATGAACTTCTGCCAGGGTCTCATTCCAAGGTTACCTCAGTGTGTAACCCATCAGTCCTGATTCTTCTCATTTTCCCACCATGCCCAGGTGGTCTGGATTCTGCAGATTTTCCTCTAGAAGAATATTCTTGGTTGTAGCCTGTTCTGTGCCCAGCTCCCCCAGCCTTCTCCTGGTCTTCATCACCTGTCCTCTGTACTCCTGTTTTGCCTCCTTGCTGGTTTTCTGCCTCAAATCTCTTCCTGCTTTGAGACCTTTTTTTAAAAACAAACAAACAAACAGACTTCACAGATTAATCTTCCAAGAACACTTAGTGATCATCTGTCAACCCACTTCATTCTGGAGCCTCCTGCCTGATTTGCCAGATTCTGTTCTAGGCTCAAGGGGTTTGGAGGCAGAGGGCACAGTCTGCTCCTGCCCTGGTGTCTTTCTGCTCTGCTGAACCACAGGGACCTCCTGTATGTGACCGTTGACCCTGCGTCTCTCTGGCTATCCCACTGCTCCTGTCCAAGCCCTCTGATATGCATGTTGGGCCAGTAACCATTCCACACAGATACCTTAAGGGTGGGTCCCCACTCTCTGTCCTTCAAGCTCCTGTCCTGCATTTCTCTGTGAGCCCTTCCTGTCCAGGGACTCGGGACCATGCTCTGTGCTCATCAGTGTCCATGGTCCTTTGTTGGAACCCCACCGTTGGAGGCGGTGACAGAGTACCAGGATCCTGGGTGTGATAGTTCGGGACAGTTCTTATTCTTCAGGATGAGTGACTACTACTCTACCATTTGTTGTCTTTGCACCACTTTGGACTCACGGCCTCAGTGAGATTCAGGTCTAGCTGTACTGGGGTTGAGGGTGCCTGGGACCGTGTGGGGCTCAGCCTCGCATCTGCAGCACGTGCCTCCCCCTGCGGGAGCCCCACCATGGCTCCCTGCCGGGACTGACACACCTGTGGGTGCTTTCAGGTGCAGGTGATCCCCTGGGTCCTGGCCGACAGCAACTTTGTCCAGAGTCCCTCCCAGAGGCTCGACCCCAGCAGGACGGTGTTCGTGGGTGCTCTGCACGGGATGCTCAACGCCGAGGCCCTGGCTGCCATTCTCAACGACCTATTTGGTGGTGTGGTGTATGCTGGGATTGACACAGATAAGCACAAGTATCCCATTGGTGAGTGTCCCACTTCTGTGTGGGACAGCTGGGTGGCCCCCAGGGTGTAGACCAAGATTGTAACACTCTCCTATGAGAGTGGAGGCGAGGCCTGACCTAGGCCTACTCATCAGCATATACCAGCAGTATAGCATCTTTTTCTAGGTATGCTACCAGTACTGACCTCTCTGTATCCACCCCTCTCCCCCCACCTCCCTTGAAGGGGAAAGAAGTTGATAGGAGCCCTATAGGAGGTGATAGGAGGTGAAAACAAAACAGGAATGTTGGTTTGAAGGTCAACATTCACAGCCAAACCATTCTGAGACAGACAACAGGTAATACTTTATTAAAAGGCTGGGACTTTCCTGAACTTGCCTGGTTTCCTCTATTAAGAGGCCTTGAAAAGTGGTCTTGTCCAGGGTCAGAGACCAAGCCAGGCTGAGGCAGGACTCAGGGTGACCCAGGCAACAAAGTGTGGTCACAGCTCACGCTGTCCTAGTGGAGGGGAGTCTGGGGGCCTGGCCACTGAGAAAGGTCAGGTTCCCAGTCGTGACAGAATCGTCTCAATGCTGGGGCTTGGAGGTGGAACAGAGCCTGGCCTTCCTGATCAACACCGGCTCCCACCGCCCCCACACACCGTCTGCCTACCCACGGCGCGTCTGGGCAGGAAGGAGCGTGGTGTGAGCATCGCAGCGGAACTGCACACTGGGGGGGACCTCAGAGCCCATGGGGCAGAGGTGCTGCTCTGACTCCCCTGCCTGGCCTGCCGTCTGCTGTGCTCTGCCTATGTCTGGCTTTCCACTCTGAACTGGAATAACCACGCCTGTGGGTTTGCCCACACAAAGGAGTCTCTTTCCTCCCCCGAGGGGCCATTTCTGAGGGGCTGTGCCACCATGGTCTGCAGTTGCAGTCTGACATGGTGCCACCAGCTGAACATGTTGAATGCCACCTGTTGAAACGATGATATGTTGGGTTAAAGAAAAAATATTACTGAAATTAATTCCCCTACATTTCGTTCATTCCACTACATTCCTTAGACGTGGCTACTGGGAATCGTTAAATTTACGTGAGTAGCCTGCGTTTACGTTTCTGTTGGGCAGCACCATGCTGATCTAGGAGCAGGCTTTCCTGAGTGTTGACATGCGGCCTTTGGGAGGCTTGGGCTCAAGGGTAAGTTTCCCATCTTCCTTAGGCTCTGGTCGTGTGACTTTCAACAACCAGCGCAGTTACCTGAAAGCAGTCAGTGCTGCTTTTGTGGAGATCAAGACCACCAAGTTCACCAAGAAGGTGAGTGAGCTGGTCTGCACCCTCCTCTGGGCCATCTGAGAGGTCTGGGCGGCCACCACTCAGGGCTGGCCCACCACGAGAGCGGTGCCATGCTGGCTGTGAGCCAGGCTTCCACTGACGCACCTGAGGGTCAGGGTTGGAGGTGGGCCTGGTCTCAGTTGATGAGAATGGATGAGAGCCTCAGCATGTGGTCACCTTCCCTCACTGTGGTCCTTGACCAGCACTGCGAGCTAAGCTGACTTCCATCCTGACCTGCTTCCTCCAAGCACTTGCTTTTTTGCTGGGCGATAGCGTTCCATGTCAGGTTTGCTGAGAAGGCCAGGCAGTAACGTGGGGTCGCCATGCTGTGCACAGCCAGCCTGGAAGCTGCTGCGGTGATCTTGTCTCTCTCGAGGATCTCTGGGTCCTCTGCCCTATTTCTCCCTGGGCCCCTTAAAATAGGAACCACCTTGTGCTCATATAGGTGACTCACACCCACCCTTCTCTTGTGGCCCCTCTGGCTCCCTGTGAGAAGCAGCCCCTAGTGACCCTGCTCTGCCTCTGTCTGCAGGTTCAGATCGACCCTTACCTGGAAGACTCTGTGTGCCATCTCTGCAGCTCCCAGCCTGGCCCGTTCTTCTGTCGGGATCAGGTGAGGCCCCTGGGCACGTGAGCAGTTTACAGAGCCCTTGCCCTCAGTTCGACGTTGTCGTGTCACGCTCATCACATGGAGCATGGAGGTCTCAGGTTCCTCGTGGTTGTCTCAGAGCAGCAGAAGCAGCAGTGATGCTGACCCTGAGCTGTGGGGAAAGCCCGTGGAGCTGTCTTGGTGCTGTGGCCTCCTGTCCTTGGGGCGTGCTGTGCAGCACGGTACTGCTGCTCATGGGTGGTTTCCAGGATGACAGGGACCCAGGCAGGTGTGGCTAGCACTACCTGTGAGCCAGCCAGGTCCTGCTGTTTTGGCTCTAAGCCCTTTAGGTGGATTCTTCCTAGGCGAGGCATCCGTCTCTGTTGACTTCTGAATCTCTGGGCTGCTTTGGTGCTGCTACCTGGTTTGTACCCAGTTGTCAGAAGCAGGCGGAAAGCAGCACAGCAGCTTTGTTGCACGTTTCTGGGTGGTGGAGCACAGATCTGGATTTATTGGACGCAGCCTGTCATCCTCTGTAGTGTGTCTGTGTACTCATCCCCTGAGGATCTTGTGTCAGTGCCGTCTGATTCAGCAGGTTTGGAGCATGACCTGAGACTCCCTGTTCATGACAAGTCTCCAAGTGGCGCCCATGTTGCTATTGACAGGAGTTAGGGACCTGGTCAGGTACCAGCACTGTGTCTGTATTTGCAGCTATGTTTGCAGTGGAGCTGTCACTCAGGTTTGGAGTCTGAGTAGATGGTAGTTAAACCGAGGCTGCAAGAGGAGGATGTGAAGTAAATGTGGGTTGCTGGAGAGAGCTTGATGGCGTGTGAGTCTGATCAGCCTCTTCTCACAGGCTTGTGTGTGTCAGTGTGTTTCACAGATGGTCCCCATTTTCAGATATCTGGCAGTTAGTGGCCTGCCTGAGGTTACACAGCCAGCAGGATTGAGGGGCTGGGACCGAGATGTTGATCTACATGCGCAGTCGCCTCTCCTCACTGAGTGTAATGACGAAGCCATGCTGCCTGGCCTTAGGGTCTGGAGCCACTGTCTTTGAACGCTCTCCTGTATTGTGCGTGGCCATGTGACACATGTGCGCCACAGGAGGTAGGACGGGCAGGGACTGGAAGAGCACCTGGGTGCTCAAACTGAGGAGGGGAGCTGGCGTGGCCGCTACACACTAGGAGCCCAGCGTGCACAGTTGAGTGCAGGCACCCACAGAAGCCGGCCATGGCTCATGTTGGGGACGAGAGGAGTCCCTGGGGCCCGCAGAGGCCATGAGGAGTGCCCACACCCTCGCGGGTCGCAGCGGGCAGTGCACACGGCCCCCCGACGGGTCTGACCCAGGCCTGGCTCCTCTCCTCTCTCCCCTCGCAGGTGTGCTTCAAGTACTTCTGCCGGAGCTGCTGGCACTGGCGGCACAGCATGGAGGGCCTGCGTCACCACAGCCCCCTGATGCGAAACCAGAAGAACCGCGACTCCAGCTAGAGGGGCCTGTGCGCCCAGGGCCGGCCGCCTCCACAGCCGGCCCACCTGCCACCGGCGACCAGGGAGCTGGCTTCCCGAGGACAAGGGAAATCGTAGTCACCTTTGCACTTGCTGAATCTGTCTTTGTTTCTGCACTAATTAATGCACAATGAGTTTTGTCAGGTTTTGTTTTCAGAGGGTGTGCCAGGGCAAGGACCCTCTGGCTCACCTTCCAAGCGACTCTGTAGTTTTCCCAGATTTTAGTTCCTCATTTTGCCGATGAAAAGCAAAAAAAAAAAAAAAAAAAAAAGAACTACGTGTCCAGAAGGTATTGACACGACGCCTACATCTAGGTTTATTTATTAAAAGCGCTTTTTTACATTCCTTGCAATACTGATGGTGATGATGTGCAGGTCTCATTGGTTTCATTCTTGCAGTTGCCATACAGTGCCTTTCCATTTATTTAACCCCCACCTGAACGGCATAAACTGAGTGTTCAGCTGGTGTTTTTTACTGTAAACAACAAGGAGACTTTGCTCTTCATTTAAACCAAAATCATATTTCATATTTTACGCTCGAGGGTTTTTACCGGTTCCTTTTTACACTCCTTAAAACAGTTTTTAAGTCGTTTGGAACAAGAGATTTTTTTTCTTTCCTGGCAGCTTTTAACATTACAGCAAATTTGTGTCTGGGGGACTGCTGGTCACTGTTTCTCACAGTTGCAAATCAAGGCATTTGCAACCAAGAAAAAAATTTTTTTTGGATTTGAAACTGGACTGGATGAATGATGTTTGAGCGGCTGCTGTATATAGTTTTAAAATGGTTTATTGCACCTTCTTAAGTTGCACTTATGTGGGGGGGGAGGGTTGATAGAAGTTTTTAATCACAAAGTCACAGGACTTTTTTCTTTTGTAACTGAGCTAAAAAGGGCTGCTTTCTGGTGGGGGCAGATGAAGGCTCACAGGAGCCCTTTCTCTCAGAGGGGACAAGTACCCTACCCTGATTTCCTTCGTTTGAGAAGCATATGAAGCAACAGTTGCAGTCGACTGAAATGCTACTGGAATTTGAAAACTTGACTTTTTCTTTCTTCTTTCCTTCCTTTTTTTTTTTTTAAAAAAAAAACAAAACTACTTGCCCCTCTTTGGGAAGCTGTGTGCCAAAGAACCAGTGTCATAACGCCCCTCCTCCCTCCTGCTGAGCTGACGTTGCATTGTTGCATATCCCAGCTACTCTGTGGGTTTCGTGAAGCTGTGTGTGAAGTCTCTACCTCATTGTAGTATATGCAGGCAAGACTGCACTCTCCTACAGGTGTGTGGAGTAAGCTGTGGTGTAGTTTTTTTGGCACATAATAAACACGTTGCAGCAGAGTTCCGGTTCTGTCTCTGTGTCTGAGGTGGGGGAATGGGGACAGTGAGACACTTAGGATTTCAGAGTAAAAGCGCACATTTCCTTGGATCTTCTGTAATGGATGGGATTCCTGCCCAGGTTAATGGAGGGGCCATGTGGAGACCTGCCCCTTTAAGTCATTCTTGTTCACTTCGTGCACCTTGAAGGTGCCTTTCTGGTAAGTGGATACCTCTGGTCCAGGTATGTAAAAAGACCACACAAATAAACTTTCTCGGGCTCCTCTTGGGCTTTCCAGGTGGCAGAAATAGTAAAGAACCCACCTGCTAATGCAGGAGGCAGAAGAGACACGGGTTTGATCCCTGGATCAGGAAGATCCCCTGGAGGAAGGCATGGCAACCCACTCCAGCATTCTTGCCTGGAAAATCCCATGAACAGGGGAGCCTGGCAGGCTGCAGTCCATGGGGTCGTGAAGAGTTGGACACGACTGAGTGACTTAGCAGGCAGGGGGCTCCTCTTATCATCCTAGACCCGCCTTGGAGGGACTGGAGGATAGCTCCTTGGGGTCAGCACAGGCCACTTGTTCTCAGCTCTTCCTGTACGCCTTGGAGCTTTCTTCTTCTTGGGAGGCTTCCTATCTCTTGGAGTCATCTATGCTGATCCAGTTCTTTACTGAACAGGAGTAAATTTTTGCTATTCTTCGGGATTGTCACCTGGACTCTAACCTCACAGGCTTCTAGGATTTGTTAATCCTGGTCTACTAATGATTTTTTCAGGTAGGTCGTGCCTGGGCCCAGCTGCTGGAGCAATTTCTGGAAGATTCCATTTTAGTCATTGGTGGAGGGAGCTCTGCATGCTGAAGCATCCCTTCTGTGAAGAGATGCAAGAACTCACTGTCATGGTGGGTGGGGAGTCCTGTTAGCCAAGGCCTGGCTGGCTGCCGCCTCATTGGAAGTTCACTGGTAAACTGCAGCTCTCGGAGCAGGGGCTGCTCCTGTCCTGTCCTGTTCAGAGTCATCTCTTCTCTCGGTTCGTCTCATTCTGGTCCATATGCTGCTTTCAGGGCACGAGCTTCCTCTCCAGCCTTCCATTCCTATCAGTTAAGAGGGACTGACTGTCCAGGAGTTGAGGGATGAGGCACACAGCCTGGTGCCCCTGACCTCATCCAACCTGGACAGCCCCGCCCTTCCTTAAGTCAGGTGAGGGCCTGGAATCCACTTCAGCAGAGGTGGAGAGAAGGAGCAGTACTCTTGAGGCTGTCTGGGCGCCAGGGTAGTAAGTAGCCAGTGCTGTTGGCTTCAGAAGGACTAGGTTTGAGGATGGGTAAGACAGGAACAGCCTGAGGAAGCAGTGGTGGTTGGAGAAGGTGCCTCAGTTGGAAGCACTACAGGTGAACTGGGCCCTTCTGGTAAATATTTGAGAACAAACTTTGTGCTAGGCATTGTTCAACGCAAAACACTGCTGTCACAGAATTCATCCCTCACTGTGACACGTGCTAAGAAATGCTAGAGCAACATTAAAAGGCTATCAGTGCTGGATCATTGAAAAAGCAAGAGCGTTTCAGAAAAACATCTATTTCTACTTTATTGACTATGCTGAAGCCTTTGACTGTGTGGATCACAATAAACTGTGAAAAATTCTGAAGGAGATGGGAATACCAGACCACCTAACCTGCCTCTTGAGAATCGTGTATGCAGGTCAGGAAGTAACAGAACTGGACATGGAACAACAGACTGGTTTCAAATAGGAAAAGGAGTACGTCAAGGCTGTATATTGTCACCTTGCTTATTTAACTTACATACAGAGTACATCATGAGAGATGCTGGGCTGGAGGAAGCACAAGCTGAAATCAAGATGGCCGGGAGAAATACCAATAACCTGATACGCAGATGATACCACCCTTATGGCAGAAAGTAAAGAACTAAAGAGTCTCTTGTTGAAAGTGAAAGAAGAGAGTGGAAAAGTTGGCTTAAAGTTCAACATTCAGAAAACTAAGATTATGGCATCTGGTCCCATCACTTCATGGGAAATAGATGGGGAAACAGTGGCTGACTTTATTTTTTGGGGCTCCAAAATCACTGCAGATGGTAACTGTAGCCATGAAATTAAAAGACACTCCTTGGAAGGAAAGTTATGACCAACCTAGACAGCATATTAAAAAGCAGAGACATTACTTTGTCAACAAAGGTCTGTCTAGTCAAGGCTATGGTTTTTCCAGTGGTCATGTATGGATGTGAGAGTTGGACTATAGGGAAAGCTGAGCACCGAAGAATTGATGCTTTTGAACTGTGGTGTTGGAGAAGACTCTTGAGAGTCCCTTTGACTGCAAGGAGATCCAACCACTTCATCCTAAAGGATGTCAGTCCTGGGTGTTCATTGGAAGAACTGATGCTGAAGCTGAAACTCCAATACTTTGGCCACCTCATGCGAAGAGCTGACTCATTTGAAAGGACCGTGATGCTGGAAAAGATTGAGGGCAGGAGAAGGGGATGACAGAGGATGAGATGGTTGGATGGCATCACCGACTCAATGGACATGGGTTTGGGTGGACTCCAGGAGTTGGTGATGGACAGGGAGGCATGGTGTGCTGCGGTTCATGGGGTTGCAAAGAGTCGGACACGACTGAGCGACTGAACTGAAGTGCTAAAAAACAAAAAAAGGACAACAGTGCTACTTAATACATAAATTGGAGGAAAAACCCCTTTGATAAGGTGACATTTGAGTAAAGATTCAGAAGTGAGATAATTGTTTCCCAGTTGTACTTGTGTCTCCACCAGGCTACAAGGCTCTGAGCCATGGACTTGGTGGGGACCCTGTGTGCGAGGCCATCCCCTACCTTCTCACTTTTCTGTGCTACCACTCGCTGTCGCTGTCCACCTCCTCCCCCCTACCCCCGCCCCCCCCCCCACACCACCCCCGGTATGTGTGGAAGAGATGCACCTTTCCTACTCCAAGCCGCTAGGGTAAGGTCAGCTTACTCAAACTCATGTCCATCGAGTCACTGATGCCATCCAACCATCTCATCCTTTGTCGTCCCCTTCTCCCGCCTGCAATCTTTCCCAGCATCAAGGTCTTTTCCAATGAGTCAGTTCTTCGCAGCAGGTGGCCAACAAAAGTATTGGAGTTTCAGCTTCAGCGTCAGTCCTTCCAATGAATACTCAGGACCGATGTAGAAGCTGTAGAAACCACTGTAGAAGGCTTTCAAAAAAAAAAAAAAAGGCTTTCAGACACCAGCCTAAGCGACCATAGGCGGGGCGGAGCGGAAGAGCCTTGATCATCAGGGGGCGGGTCAATAGCTCGTTCCGCCTACCGGATGCAGACGAGCCGTCCACATTTCCATTCTATTTTGCCTCCGCCCCGCTAGGGGTCGCTGTGGTGCGCTGGAGTATCAGCGCGTCCCAGGCTAGGCGGAAGCGGCTTTCTGGCCTGCGCTTTATAGGTCTCTCTTGTGTTTCCTGTTTCCTCTTTCACCAAGGACCCGCCAACATGGTAGGTGTTTTGGCTTCACGTTCGTGCCCACCAGAATCGTCCTCCATCCGCCGTTTCCCTCAGTTCCCAGCCCGTGAGGGGGCGCGCACTGCCCTGTGAGGCTGAAGCCTCCGTAGGTTGTTGGTTTCCGCGTTGACCCCGCGCTCCAGCACTGCCCGGCCGGGCCTTTACTCTACTGGGCTCAGTCCCAGCCCACGAACCCAACTCGGGTCAGGGTGTGACGCCGCGTTGTTTGCTTGAGCCGAGTGGTCCTGCCTCGCGAGTGACCCTGTTTTCTCCACCGCAGGGCCGCGTTCGCACCAAAACCGTAAAGAAGGCGGCCCGGGTCATCATTGAGAAGTACTACACGCGCCTGGGCAATGACTTCCACACCAACAAGCGGGTGTGCGAGGAAATCGCCATTATTCCCAGCAAGAAGCTCCGCAATAAGATCGCAGGGTGAGTCGAGTCTGCGTTCGGCCTCCAGGGCCTCCGTGGCCCCGCGGGTGGGTCCTGGGAACAGTGCATCTGTGGGGTTTCTTGGTGAAGTTGTCTTGTGTTCACGTTGCTGATACTTGGCTGTTTGGCAGTGGCGCTTGGACGAAGTTAGCCCCAGTCGATCTGTGAAAGAGAATATTTAAAGATATACTTGATTTACTGTTGTATTGCGTGATTTGGAACTGGAAGGAAAAGCAGATGAGGGTTGGGAGGGATCGCGAAAGTTTGTTGGAGTATTTGGTGGTTTTACAAACGTACATGAATACAGAGGACAGGCATGCCTGGTTAAGCGGAGCTGCGTGTAGAGGTTCTGTGTATGTAGATTTTTAGAGTCAGGACTTCCAAGATGATGATGACTCTTCTCACTGCGGGAAAAGAACTGAAGCTCCTACGTGCACATCCAGACGTGCTGTGTACCGTGGGGACCAATGTGTGTTCTTGGGGCGCTTTGTAGCTACGTCACACATCTGATGAAGCGGATTCAGAGAGGCCCGGTGAGAGGTATCTCCATCAAGCTGCAGGAGGAGGAGAGAGAGAGGAGAGACAATTACGTGCCTGAGGTAAACTTTCTGGGTCTTACTCTGGATCTCTGGTTCATCCTGAAAGATAGAAGCAGGCCCCTGAGAACCGTTTCGGGTACTTGGTTTCCAGGGGGACCTCAGCTGCACCTCCATAGACTCCTCCCCACCCCCAAGCAGCTGTGCTCTACTTAGTGGTTCAGTTGCGTCCAGCTCTTTGCGACCCCTTGGGCTGTAGCCCGCCACGTCCATGGGATTCTCCAGGCAAGAATAGTGGAGTGCGTTGCCATACACTTCTACAGGGGATCTTCCCGACCCAGGAGTGGAACCCAGGTCTCCCACATAGCCGGCGGATTCTTTACCATCTGAGCCACCAGGGAAGCCCATAAGCAGCTGTAGGTGCCCATAATCTGTTAGTACCTGCTTATATGTTGTGTCCTGTTAGGACCATGTAAGTTCTGTACATGAGAACCTTGCATGATTCGTGACTTAGCATGTCTTCTGGCTTGATTTTTTTTTTTTTTTTTGCTTTGGTATAATATTCCTGGACTGTTGCTATAAACCCAGTCTTAAGGTTTTTTTAAATACTGAATTTGTGGGATCCTATTGTATCCCCTCTATGCTTGCCCCCTCCCCCAGGGAAAGTGAGAGATTCTCTTAACTCATTACTATTTGGGGCCTGCCTTGTTTCTCCTAGGTCTCAGCCCTGGATCAGGAAATCATTGAAGTAGATCCTGACACTAAGGAAATGCTGAAGCTCTTGGTAGGTGTTTGCTGAATTCCTGAAGTAGGGTTTCCCTGGTCACCAACCATCAGTAGCTCTCTGCCATCTTTAATACCCCTGGGTAACACTTGTTGAATCTTTAAAATATATCAGGTAATTTCCACATTTTCTGTATGTTGTTTTCCTCACTGTATCCCATGAGACACATCTGTTGTTTACATTTTATAGATGTTGGAGGGTAATTTCAGGTTAGTGGGTGGCAGAGGTGGGAATCCATCCACACTTCTAACCACTAAGCTAGACTATCTCCAGAGGGGGTTTAGCTGGTTGCTAAAGGTTGAGTTTGCTGTCCACATGACGATAATTCCCAGATCTAGTGGTTGTTGCATTCTTCTTGCTCTCCTGTGTCCACTTGCTAACCACTCACATGAGCTCTGGTTCCATTTCTGGTGCTGACAGGGCACTAATTGAGCGGTTCAGCTGTCTTCAGCACGCTGATAGTGTCTCTTCTGTGATTTATCTTAGTACTTCTGCATTTTGGTGAAAGCATGAGCTTCAAAGTCCAGGAGGCAGTTGATTTCGAGCATCTTTATTTTTCCCTTTTTTATGATGATGAAACGTTTAAATAATAGCATGAATTCCTATACACCTACCACCCAGCTTCAGAAAAACATCACCAGTACAGCTAAAGCCTGTTACAGATTATTTTCTCCTGAAATAACCACTATCCGGGAATGTAGCTTTTTATTTTCAACTTTAAAATTGGTCTTTGAGCATGAAATGAGGAATTAATTTCTGGTTATGTGGTGTAGCCTTGGGTTCACTGCACTGAGATTGAGCCAGCTCAGAGGCAGGTCCTGCTCTTGTCCCACCACTCCTCTTCCTGGGCCTTCACAAATGCTGGCTGCATGAGTGATGCTTCCTATCTGAGACTGGTCCTGAAAGTGAAGAGGCACTGTGTTAGCCTTAGAGCAGTATTCTCAAAGGGATAGATTTTGCACCCAGCAGACATTTGGTGATACCTGGTCACAGCTGGGGATACAAGCAGACTTGTGGGTAAAGGCTGAAGATGCTGTTCAAAGTCTTAGAATGCACAGGACAGCTCCCTTGTGACTGTTAGGGTGGAGGATCCTTCAGATGGAGTCCACTCCCTTGTGAGTTTACTGGTCTGGGGTGGGGAGAAGGCTCTCACTTTTCTGCAGGGTCCCAGCAGTCTGACCTGAGCTGGAGGGGGCTAGTGAAGCATAGCCTAATGGTGGTGCTGGGACTCTGGACACAGATCTTGCCAGAACAGCCACACTAAGCCCATTTTTATCATTACAGGACTTTGGCAGTCTGTCCAACCTGCAGGTCACTCAGCCTACAGTTGGGATGAACTTCAAAACACCACGTGGAGCTGTTTGAGTCTTTTTTCTGCTGTGCTGTAATATTTTCAATAAACCTCGGACAACAACCTTGCCTGTGTCATCTGTGGGGTTGGGTCCTGGTAGAACTAAGGGCAGGAATTCTTTCTCACGGGAGAAGTGTCCTGCAGAGCCCCTGTGGGCAGTGTCCATACAGACAGTGGATATATGAGAAGGCCTGGTCCTGGCAGGTCCTTTGCGCTCACTGTGGCTTCGGGCAAAAGTCAGGAAATACTTTTCCCTCTTTACTCCATGTTTCCTATGTGTTTGAGCTCAGCCTCTCCTGGGTACATGGAGTTTGGGTTAGTGAACCTTCTTGTCTTGAAAGGGTCATGTTCCTCATATGTATGAGGGTTGGGTTTTCTGGGGATGGGAGGTAGAATGGAGACTTGAGTGTGAATGGCTGTGCGTGTGGAAGGATCAGTGAGACCATGGGATGTGGCAGTTTAAGGGAGGCAGAGCTTGCTAGGTGAATCCTGGGAGATGGTTCTGAATTTAGGGATCCTGCTGAGGCAGTGGGTCCAACTGCATGGTGGAGAGTGCTAGGTTGGGCTTGTCTTTGTTCACAAGTAGCTGGAGGAGCAGTTGGAGCACTTTGATCCTAGGAAACATCTTGAAAATGTGAACTGTAAATACACAAAGTTATAACACCTGTTATAATTTTTAACTTGAAATGTTGCAAGATAGCATAAAGAACTTATAAATACTCTTTCCAGGCCTCTCAGTTCACATTTTCTCCCAATTGCTTTATATACACTTTTTTTCTGATCCATTGGGATTAAATTACCCATTTCTGCCTTCAGTCTTGCCCAGCATCAGGGTGTTTTCCAGTGAATCATTTCTTCGCATCAGGTGGCCAAAGTATTGGAGCTTTAGCATCAGTCCTTCCAATGAATATTCAGGACTGGTTTGATCTTGCAGTCCAAGGGACTCAAGAGTCTTGAACACCACAGTTAAAAGCAATTCTTTGGTGCCCAGCTTTCTTTATAGTCCAGCTCTTGCATCCATACATGACTACTGGAAAAACCATAGCTTTGACTAGATAGACCTTTGTCAGCAAAGTAATGTCTCTGCTTTTTAATACACTGTCTAGGTTGATCATAGCTTTTCTTCCAAGGAGCAAGCACCTTCATGGCTGCAGTCACCATCTGCCGTGATTTTGGAACCCAAGAAAATAAAGTATGTCACTGTTTCCATTGTTTGCCCATCTATTTGCCATGAAGTGATGGGACTGGATGCCATGATCTTAGTTTTTTGAATGTTGAGTTTTAAGCCAGCTTTTTCACTCCTCTTGCTTTCATCAGGAAGTTCCTCAGTTCCTCTTCACTTTCTGCCATAAGGATGGTGGTGGTATCTGCATATCTGAGGTTATTGACATTTCTCCCAGCAATCTTGATTCCAGCTTGTGCTTCATCCAGCTGGGCGTTTCTCATGATTACTCTACATACAAGTTAAATAAGCAGGGTGACAATATACAGCCTTTCCCAATTTTGAAACAGTCTATTGTTCCATGTCCAGATGAGTGCAGTTGTGTGGTAGTCTGAGCATTCTTTGGCATTGCCTTTCTTTGGGATTGGAATGAAAACTGACCTTTTCCAGTCCTGTGGCCACTGCTGCTTTTTCCAAATTTGCTGGGATATTGAGTGCAGCACTTTAACTGCACTCATCTCACACGCTAGCAAAGGAAGGCTCAAAATTCTCCAAGTGAGTCTTCAACAGTACGTGAAACGAGAACTTCCGGATGTTCAAGATGGATTTAGAAAAGGCAGAGGAGCCAGAGATCAAATTGCATATTGAGTGCAGCATCGTCTTTTAGGACTTGAAATAACTCAGCTGGAATTCCATCACCTCCAGTAGCTTTGTTCATAGTGATGCTTCCTAAGACCCACTTGACTTCAGACTCCAGGATGTCTGGCTCTAGGTGAGTGATCACACCATTGTGTTGTGGTTATGTGTCATGAAGATGTTTTTTGTGTAGTTCTTCCATGTATTCTTGCCACCTCTTCTTTATATCTTCTGCTTCTGTTAGGTCCATACTGTTTCTGTCCTTTATTGTGCCCATCTTTGCATGAAATGTTCCCTTGGTACCTCTAATTTTCTTGAAGAGATCACAAGTCTCGCATTCTATTGTTTTCCTCTGTTTCTTTGCATTGATCACCAAGGAAGGCTTTCTTATCTCACCTTGCTATTCTTTGGAACTCTGCATTCAGATGGGCATATCTTTCCTTTTCTCCTTTGCCTTTAGCATTTCTTCTCTAATCCATAATCCAATGTAACATTTTGCCAGTTTTCCCAGTAATTTCTTCCAGTTTTCCTGGTTGAGGATCCAACCCAGAATCACTGTATCTACTTTTTATGTCCTTTTCGTTCCATGTCTTTCATGATATTTTTGAAAAGTGTTGGCTGACTCCTTGTAGAATGTCCTTCAATTTCAGTTTGATGTTGTCTTGCACTTAGATTTAATTTTTTTTTAAGTTTTAGAAATGCAGGTGGTTTGATTTAAGATTTTTTGACTAGTATGGTGTGGAAGTGACAGGCATTCAGTAGAAACTACTTCAGATAACTGAGTTTTTATCTTTTTACAGGTTAGGATAGTGGTTAACTCATGACTGGGCAGTGGCAGTGAGCCGCAGCTCCCAGTCAGCTTATGTGATCTCAAAGCAACAAATACACTTAACTATTCTGTAGTTATACATTCTGTTTCAGTACAGTGTTCAGTACATGAGACGTTCAGTCACAAAGTCAAGTCTGACTGCGACCTCATGGACTGCAGCACGCCAGGCTCCTCTGTTCCCCACTACCTCCCAGAGTTTGCTCAAATTCATGTCTATTGAATCACTTATTCTACCTGACCATCTCATCCTCTGACGCCCCCTCTCCTTTTGCCTTCAGTCTTTCCTAGTATCAGGGTCTTTGCCAATGAGTAGGCTTTTCTGTATTGGGTGGTCAAAGCACTGGAGCTTTAGCAACAGTCCTAGTAACTATTCATGGTTGATTTCCTTCAGGAGTGATTGGCTTGATCTTGCACATATGAGAGATACACAGTGCTTTATTACAAAGTGGACTTTGTCTTAGTTGATTTGGCTCAACTGTAGGTTAATGTGTTACAATGTTAAAAACAGCCTTAGGTAAGCTATGATATTCAGTCATGTCTGACTCTGCAACCCCACAGCTTGCCAGGCTCCTCTATGGGATTTTCCAGGCAAGAATAATGGAGTGGGTTGCCATTCCCTTCTCCAGGGGATCTTCCCTACCCAGAGACAGAACCGGCCTCTCCTGCTTCTCCCGCATGGGCATGAAGATTTATGATGTTGAGTAGGTTGTGAATTAAGTGTATTTTTGACTTGGGGTATTTTCAATTTACTATGGGTTTATTGCAACATGACCCCATCCTAAGTCAAGGCAGATCTCTACCACAGAAGTGATACTGTGTACTCGATGCATCATACTGAGAGACAGAATATCTGTCAGAGTTTTAGTGGTTTACTTCAAGTGCTTGGATTAAGATGTATCGCTCAAGTTTCTCCTCTGTTAAGTTGTAAGAAGGTCTTTTGTGGCTAAATACCCTGTTGTTCAACCTTTCACTCACTGGTTTTAGCATCTATTGTTATTTTACCTCCATGATTACCTTATATTTATTAGTATTGTACAGTAGGGAAGGAGCTCTCTCTTCTTCACCAAGAACATTTCTTTGCATTTCTTGGTGTGGAGTCGGGCATTCTCAGCAAGTAACCTTGCCTTCTATATACGGCTCTGTGTAAAGAAGCCTTCCCTCTTTCGGTTTTCGGTGTCAATGGTGAGGAAAGGGCTGGGCTTTCTGTATGGGAGAGAAACTAGAGCTGGTTTAAAATGACAGTGGGTAAGAAAATTAAAACACACGGATGTGTGCTGTGGTGTTTGCCGTGCTCCGCCACTAGGAGGCAGTGCCATCGCAGCTCCACGCCTGCCCGGCGGGTCCACCTCTAAGGCTCCAGGTAAGTGAGATGAGGGGTGGGAAGGGCTGGGAGGAGCAGGGAGCCGACCGCGGCGGCACAGAGAAGCCGTTTCATTCTCCATCAGCGTTGAGGAGCTTCTCCTAAGCCTCGGTTCTTGCATCTGTAAAATTAGCCCTGGGCTCCTTAGAACCTCCTGTGGAACTTGTTAAAAGCAGGTGGTGAGGCGCTGCCCCCAGCCTGAGATTTGCGCGGCTTCAGGCGTGGTGGGGCGGGGCGCGCGGCTCAGGTGTGTCCACTCGGTGCTAAGTGTGCTCGCGTGCGGTTCCAGCCCAGCTGGGCTGGACGCCACGGGACTAGCGTCTCTCCTGTGCTGTTTGCGTCTGATAATGTCTATTGGAGTATGTCATGAAATACGGCAGTCTTCTGCCTTCTGTGTCACCTACTCTGCTGCTTCGAGATTTCGAAGAGTCCCAGGAACGTTTTGAAGGTAATTTTCTTCCCCCCCCCCCCCCATATTGTCCTCGTGTGCTGTGCTAAGTCGCTCAGTCGTGTCTGGCTCTTTGTGGACGCGGCTCCTCTGTCCGTGGGGATTCTCCAGGCAAGAATACTGGAGTGGGTTGCCGTGCCCTTCTCCAGGGGATCTTACCCACTCAGGGATCGAACCCACGTCTCCTGCGGCCCCTGAATTGCAGGCTGATTCTTTACCGCGGAGCCTCCAGGGAGCCCATATTGTCCTTAGTTTTGTTAAAGTACAATTTTCAACAGAGGAAAATGACTGTCACACAGATATAAAATGAACTTGGTAAGTATTTTTTAAAAACCTAAGTTTTAAAAAGCCGATGTTACAGTCAGTTGAAAGAAGAAGTCAGGGACAAATTTGGAGGAAGGGAATGTTGAATTTATAAATGGACACAAGACCGACTTCTTCCGCTAAACCTCTAGCCAACAGAATTTATTTACGTTTGTCTATAGGTGAGAATTATTTGCATTGTCAGGCGTCTACAGCTTGGAGAGTTGTAAAATAGCTCTAAGGCAGTGAAAGATGCAGAGCCTCTGTTTAGAATCT